CATTTACACAAGTCCAGAATATTAACTAAGTCCAGAATAGGACTCAACCATTTACACAAGTCCAGAATATTAACTAAGTCCAGAATATTAATTAAGTCCAGAATAGGACTCAACCATTTACACAAGTCCAGAATATTAACCAAGTCCAGAATATTAACTAAGTCCAGAATAGGACTCAACCATTTACACTAGTCTAGAATAGGACTCAACCATTTACACAAGTCCAGAATATTAACTAAGTCCAGAATATTAACTAAGTCCAGAATAGGACTCAACCATTTACACTAGTCTAGAATTGGAACAATAATTTACACTAAGTCCTGAATTGGACCAATAATTTCCACTAATTCCAGAATTGGAACAATAATTTACACTAAATCCAGAATTTTACAGTAAGTCCAAGATAGGACATAAATAATTAAGTCTAAAAGGACCAACAATTTACACTAAGTCCAAGGTAGGACCAATAGACCAGACTAAAATTGGACCAACATTCTATTTAACTAGGTCCAGAATCAGACAAAAACACTGGCATTTTGAAAGGTCAACACTTACATTACATAATAAATTACAAAGTTCACTTGGCAAACAGTACTTCAATTCATAATTGTTCATTCTATGGATGCACAACAAAATATCTGTTATGGTTTAAACTTTCCATAATTTATATGCTTCATCTCCATACATCAGAGTTCACTAAGATCCAGGTACCAGTTTACTGGAGGTTGCATAATTCAAACATATCCGTCTATTTCGCAAAGTTCATTGCTTCATTTTTATACGTTAAAATTTGACTTCCACGCTTTATCTCAAAGTGTGATATTGCCAAGCTTCTGTTACCAGCGTTCAAACAAATCAGTCCTGATTTCCCACAATGCCTTTCTTTGCTCAACATCCTTTATATAACAGCTTGGGTTTGCCCCAGTTCATCAGCTTCATTTATCCAAGCTTCCAACAAATCCGGCTGGACATTCATTCAAACTCCTACCTGCACTGAATGCTTATCTTCGTAATCCACAATGAAATTGTGCCTGTGTTTTCCTGGAAAATATAGAGAACAAGAATCATCTAACTACAGTAATAAAGTACAATTACACTATTAAATAACTGCACACATTAAATTAATCATCTACATAATAAGATTACGGCAGTCATTTACAAGTTACAGTACATTATATACAGACTTAACTGTTGTTGAAGAATAGAAACAAATTTAACTTTTGAATATGCTAGTCAAAGTTTTAATTTTGCTATAAGCTTTCCAAAATTTTATACCAGACTATAAGTTAATAGCAATTAATACAATTTTCACCACTATCTTCAAAATGTTAATATTATTATAAAATTTAATTAATTAGAAAATTTATAATCAGATGATAAATATAGTAAGGAATTGATTCTATTTTTCCATCTAATTCAGAATTAATTTTATATCTGGTACTTTAATTGTAAGTATTAAATAATTTTCACTTTCTTAGGTTTATGAATTAGAAAATAATTTCCTTACCTGTTGCAAGGTGCGTGGTGGTGGTGTACTCATGGCTTGAAGATCACTCAACATTTTTCATATTCTGAAATATTAAATATTTAGAAATATGAATAATAGATAATCAGTTTTTATATAGCACAAATTACAATTAAGTATCTAAGCCACAGGTGGACAAAGTGCATCCCGCATGCGGCCTGACAGCAATGTTTTTGCGGCCTGCGAAGATGAATTAAAAACCCTATGTGTGCAGCTCGCCAAGCAAAAACACCTTGTTTTTTATGGCCAGACACCGATCATATGTAAAAAAATAATATTAAAACTGAAAATAAAGTGGTGTAAAAAGCAGTGCTTGAAGGTTTTTGAAGCTTACTGGAAACACCTAAGTTTGGGTGTGGCCCTCAGTGTTAAATCAAAAATTCACTTTGGCCCTCCAACCGATATTTTATGCCCACCCCTGCTCTGAGTGCTTTAGCTCTTCTTAATAAATACAGTAGGTGAATAAATGTAAAATTCTGTAGTGTTACATTGTAGGCCGAGTTGCAGTACATACGGCTAAAGAGGAAGAATATCTAGCATGATAAGGTGCAGGATAATTGAGATAGGTTTGACTTTTGATAGATTAACCAAGGACTGAGAAACTGCCTGCAAGCATTGGCAGCAAAATGTTTTGAGTGTGGGGGAGGGGGGAAGGGCAGATTCTATAATGTAATTTACCATGTGATGGCAGTGGCATATCTTGGAGGGCTGAAATGGGGGTGCAAAGGTTAAGTGGGGGCTCGATGATCAGTTCGATGGGCGCTAACTTGAAAAATTAGGTGATTTTAAAGGATTTTTAACTACTTGACCAAGATTTTTTTTCGGGAGGACTATAGGGGAACTGGAGAGAGGGATGCAAGAAATTTTTGGAGGGGCGTGTGCACCCCCTAGATACGCCACTGCATGATGGTATCAAAATCTGCCCATAGTGAGCCTCTAGGCTGGTAGCCACAAGCCGCCAGGGAAGCTATGGATATTTGACAAATTTTGGTGAATTTTATTAGTTATCCTTATAGGCTACTGTTATTACTTCCACCATCACAATCAATTATTAGTTAATTACTATTTACAGATTTCCAGGACCTATGAGGGTATCCTTATGAAAAGTTATAAATAGTTCAATGAGGAAGATGCTAACCTATTTTTATCTAACCTATTACATAACCTATTTTTCCTAAGGGGGGGGGGGGGGGTAGGGTGCTAGGCTTCTCAGGCCTTAATCAGAAACATTTTTAGGAGTCTACAATATTTAGACAACAGTTTAACATGGAAAAAAACACATCACCAAAATAGAACTTAAAATTTCTAAAAGCCTTGGTATCATTTCTATATTATTCTTTTTACCCAATAACAACATCCTGCGTATTCTCTAACGTTCCCTCATCCTTTCTTATCTGAGCTACTGGGTGCCAAAGCATATTTATCCAACATCAACAATCTCCTAATTCTTTAAAAGAGGGTTGTCGAAATCATAGATGGCACCCCACTACGGTCTCATTCTTCCCATTTATTTTCCAAATTTATTTAATCTTCTCAAACTCACTCCTGACACTTATTTAGTCCAACAAGATAAATCTGTACTCTCTGTTGTGCATTCTATTCTTCAAAATCATTTATTGTAAATAGGCATACTCTATTTACAATTAACCCACTTGATTTGGAACTCATATTCATATACCTACTCATAACACTAATTAATTTCAACATAATATTAGATACTCAGGTACTACAATGATGAACAATTCCTCCTGTTTCTCTAAAAACATTTTTCAAAAAAATTAAAAGAAACCTAATGTCATACTATTAAAATTATAATCCTTGGTCATGATTTGATATACTGCTTTAAATTTTGTTGGTTTGTTAACATATACAGTACATTAATTCAATTATTTATTTATTCATCTCTATGTCATTCTTTGTCTTTTTCTCTTATTTGTTTATTTGTTTTATCTTTGTTTGGTTTTTCTTTTTTATTTAATTTATCTTGTTTGTTTTGGCATACCCATCACAAGAACTTAATCTTCTCGGGATCTTGCCATCTTCAATAGCTTTTTTTTTTGTTCTTTTAAATCACATCTTATTGTATACAGTATATGTGTTTGTTCTATGGAAGTGAATATGTCTTGTGATTAATTGATATTAAATCATCAAATCATTCTTTATTGAAACAATATTAGTTTACAGAAGAAAACAAACAGCCTAGGCCACGGCATGACAACAGTCATGCACATGCAGAGAAATGGACACAAAGAATTAATAATTGCACATACAGTAACACAGAGGAGAAACAAATTCAGTTTGAAATTTAAAAATTGAAATATTTTAAAAATATGTACATTATTAAATTGTAATTAGTGTTTGGATCCAAAAATCAGTAAATTAAACAATGTTATAAAATTACTTACATTTATAAAATTATTAATAATTATTTTAAACATTTTACATTGAAAGTTACAAAAATAGATTTTCAGTGGTTTTACATTAAAAATTAATAATGCAATTGAAAATTACACAATAAGGAGGTTTCACACGCGAACGTGTACGGTTAGTGTGACGGATACGTCATCATTTTGACGTCATACGCCGGCTGCTATCCACTAAACGTGTGGACAACACGCATATCTATATTACGCATATCTATGTTTTGAAGATCAAGAACTTATACAGTACTTATAATTGAACATGACCATACTGATTTTAATGACATAGAAAAATTGAACAACTTAATCTGCGACAATTATAACTGATAGAAACAACATTTGCAGAGACAAAACGAAGACTCAAAGAAGAGATTCAAATTACAAAATGTAATGTACCTGCTGATGGAAGATACAACAAACTCAAAAAACTAAATTTAAACTTTGTTATTGTTAAGGAACTTTATAGAAAAAGAAAACATTCAAAAAAATTATGTTAAAACAATTTTTAAAAAAGCTGACGTATGAATAGAAAAATGCATTCATCCAGAAAGCGAAAGCTAAAACTAATACAGTACTTATAAATATCATAATTTTACTAACATAAAAATTAATAGCCAAATCAAGGATAGATTGAATAAAGGACCAAATTGTATCCCTACACCCTTTAAAAACAATACAGAAATTAAGGATTTAAATAAAGACCTTTTATTTACTTTAAAATTATCACAAAAAGATATCTATAGCAATAATATAGTAAACCTTATAACAAGCCAACAATACCAATACGTAAACCAGGGACGTAGCCGGGATTTTCAAAGGGGGGGAGCCGTTATGCGAGGTAGGTAGGACCCCGAGGGGGGTCCAGGGAAGAAGCCCCCTGGAAAGTAGCGTGCTCTGAAAGTTTTTAGAGCTGTTCTGAGATGATAAAGTGGAAATTGCAATAAACGCATCATAAATAATATTAGTAAGCCTAACAATTTTAAGAAACTCAAACAGTGGTGGATCCAGGAATTCAATAGAGGTGACCCAGGGAGGGACTTCTTTTACAGATTGAGGAACCATCCACCTCAGCCCCACCATGGTTGGGGCTGAGGTAAGAAAATTTATGATTAGGGCACCTCTAGATGGCTGGAAATTACACTATCAGACTTAAATTTGGATGGGGGGGGGGGCCTATATTTTTCTTCTTTTTTTTCCATTAAAAAATTTAGGTGGAGGGGGTACCCTTCAGTCCACCACTGCTAAAACATTCTTTATCCAAAATATTCATAATCACGAAAAATGGGCATGTAAAACCAGATCACATTCTAAAAACAAATTTATGCACTGCCGCCTCATCAGCAGGCACTAAGACATACTCTGAGTCAGGTGTCGACTCGATGAAGTTTAATGTCATACCCAGGAATGGTGAAATCTGTTTTGGGTGGAGGAGGTGGGGTGGTGGGACGTTTAGTGAGTCAACACCCACCTCTGACCCACAATAGTTGGGTCTGAGGTGCGAATAATTGAGGAAATAGAACATCTAGATGACCAGAAAATGACATTTTTTGTAAAATTTAACATTTTATCACATCACCGTTATATACAATGTTGTAGAAAGGATTTTAAAACAGTGCAGAACAATATCATTGTGGACCCATTTTCTTTTCAAAAATATGAAAAATCTGCATCATTTTTCTCAAAAGTTGACCAATTTTACACAAAATATGAGAAATCTGGACCCATTTTTTAAAAACGGGACTCATTTTGTGCTAAAACAGCATAATTTAGACCTATTTTTGAAAATTTAAACCCATTCTTTGAGGACCCAATAGAAAAATTGTGTGTGACTGTCCAACTGTCCCAATAGCTGGCTACGGCACTGATTACATATACTCAAAATGAAGGGCCAACAAATTTCTCATGATCTTTTATCAGGGGTGTTCAGCAACCATAAAAATCTTTATTAATAATGTGTGTTATACTATAGGAAATAAAGCTTATAAACATTGTTCTTTAATTTGTACTTTATATATTTCAAAGCCGTGATTTGACGACCACCTCATCCCCACCATTGTTGGGGCTGAGGTGCAAAAATTTGAAGAAATAGTACCTCTAGATGGCCAGAAATGACACAGTATATAGTAAAATTCATCATCATCAAATTATTATTATTAATATTATAGTCAAAATGAAGTGCCAACAAATTTCTCATAATCTTTTATCAGGGATCTACTTAATATCGAAGACAACTTAGGCCTAACTATACCTTACTAAGCTTTAACTATACTATAATAATTGTGATCAACAAATTACAACTTACTTTTACGCCTTTTAGCACAATTTTCTTCAATTTTTAATATTATTAATATCATTATCTATTATCATCATCATTGTCATCATCGTAATTAATATTATTATTACTGCTAGTAGAACTTTAGTATCAAAACAAAACTTTATAGAGCTTGCAAAACGATAAAAACCAAACTGAACCATACAATATCATATTTCTGTATCCAAAAGACCTGGCCTGGGACTTATGGATTTAAGATTTTTAAAAATCACGCTAGGCCTACAGTATGTGTTATTATAGCAGGCATACAGTATGTATGACATGTGCTGATGCATATTTACATTGATTAAAATTATTTTGAGTGATCCTTGAAAAGAATTTGTATTGGCTAGCAAGAACAAGCTTTAAAATGTTAACACTGTGAGGGGGGGGGGGGGGGGGAAGCCGCAGCTCACACGGCTCCCCCTGTATACATCCCTGACGTAAACGGCATAAAGCTAATTTACGTTGTTTATTAACGCAAACATGCAAAATTTCTGCTTTAATACCCTAGAATCTTTAGAATTGGAATGTATAGATAATTTTGCTTGTATATAGCCACTCGAAATATTAACAAATTGCACTATAAACAATTTAAGAAATTATTATTACAGAGAAGACATAATAATAACAGCTCATAAATATTTAGGACTTTGTATAAATTCAACTAATTGACTAATTGGTAATATAATGAGTACAAAAGACAAATAAATTACGATAATTATAAAATAATCAGCTCCAAAAACAAAAAGAATTTAGCATTAATTAAACATTTACGTAATAGACTTGTAAAACTAATTAATAACAATAATAGTGATGAAAACATACAAGAAATTAATACGATCCTTAGATGGATAGAAAACACAAGAATCAAAATTCCATCTATGGACAGCCTTCCAAAGGCACATAAATTGAAAAATAAACCTTCACCTAATACAAAAAATATTTTGAAAGGAAGATCATTAATCACAGCGCATAGTTGGATCACCTCTCCCATGTCTAAAATTTTAGGAAATCATATCAATAACCTACTTTCCGGTACTAAAGAGATTTACAAAAAATCTGATATTCCTTTCCACTTTATTACCAAAACACAGCAACTGCACATAGAACCTACAGACAAAGCTTTTTTATTACATGGGATTTCGAAAACCTTTATGCAAATTTAACGATAGAAGACACTTTAAATTCAATTAAGCAAGCATGCAAATTACTTAACATTAATAATGATTTTACAGAATAATTTACCTCCTCAATGTAAAATTTATTAATTAATGATTATGCTTTTTTTACAGCCCAAAATATTATTTATAGACAGACACAAGGTATAAAAATGGAATCCTAAATAGCGCTCAAATTGCAAATTTAACATTAGTTATTAAAAAGTATGATTTTCATCAAAATTTTTACAAATCAAATAATTTGAATATCAATACATTTGTGTTTACACGGTATATCGACGATGGAGCTTTAATTTTAATTAACCCTTGCTTGCAATCATTAACACTAATACAAACAATAGTTAATATTTATATATAATACGGCAATGGCATTTCAGCCCTCCAGCTGAAACACAAGGAGAGGCAGCGATGGGAATTGAACCAGGGACCTATAGATCTCCATGGTTCAGCGCACACACAGTGGCTACCACCAGATTAGCCGACAGAGCTAAAGTGCTCTCACGCATATCGATTAATTATTCTACATTCTATGATTTGATACAAACAAAATCCATTTCTGCATTTACCAAAAACCACAAATCATCGATTTTCAAAAGCATCATAAAAACAAAAACGCACCGTTATAAACGCCTCTCATGTAATAAAGAAGAATTTTCTCACATTACTAATTTATTCAAAATGAGACTTAAAAAAATTGGCTACAGCATTAAATTTATCAAAAAGGTATAATTAAGAAAAATGTAAAACAATTTATTACCAAGTCTCAATTATTCTTTAGAATTAAATTTGATGAAAGTCCTAATAAACTCAACATAATTAAGGATATAAATAACGATCATAAGCATCTAATCAACAATACCTTTAATATTAAAATACATTAATTATAATGATAAGAAACTTAAACAAATCTTTTTTACTAGTTCTAAATTAATTTATTTCTATAAATAATTATGAATCATCTAAATCATTATTATTAAACTATGTTATTTATTATTTTTGAATTAAAAATTGTTTCCAGCTTTCATTATTTAAAACTGCCGGGGCCCCATTGAATGAAACTAAGGTATTATAGTTTATATTATATTTTTTTTAAACTACAATGTCGGGGCCCCTCGTGCCTTTTTTAAAGCTTTTTTAAAATTTTAAATGAAAAATGAATGAGATCGTTAATTTTGACCTTCGTACAATATATTAATCATATGACTACTACCGTACACAGAAATTTACTGTATTATAGGCCTAGCCTAGGACCAGGCTTCCTACTATAGTTTTGGCTATAGAGGCCTAGTCCAAGACCTTGTTGCAAATCCCAGCCTACATAGGCCTAGCCTATAATGCCTAGCATAGGGCTTCTGATTGTGAATTTGATAAATTAGACATTAAATTTTGCAAATTACATTTTGATTTTAACATGGACTTTTGCTGCGTATGGCACTCCATACTTTTATCCTTTGCTAGTAAGCAGAAATCATCCGCGAATGCAAGCGTTATGTATGATTTATCATTTGAGTTGTATCCATAACATTCTTCCTTGAGTTAAAGATTATATGGATGATAGGGTTGAATATTGCATGCAATATAATTGGACTTATTTTATTTCCATATTTTATTTATTTCAATTTTCACTTATTTGTTTATTTGTTTTGTCATCGTTATTTTTTTTCATTTTTGTATATTGACATAGAATTATTATTCCCATCACAAAATATTCATCTTTACTGGATCTTGACTTCTTCCATAGCTAATTTATGTTCTTTTAAATCACATCTTATTGACTGTACATGAAGTAAATAAATGTCTTTTGAATAAATGAATTACAGTACTGTAATAGATCTTGAATTCCTTATTGGAAGAATTTCATGGTCGAGCCCGGGGAGGGTTTAGGGGTGGTTCCCGAGTTAGAATAGAATAAAAAAATTAAAAAAATAAGCCGCTAGACGCTCATACAGGGCATCTTGACCTAAGAAAGTTACCCATGTGTTTGGTAATATGCAAAAGTCAAAATGTTATATATCACAAAATGGGTCCCGTAATACAGTATTTCTTTGCTGTTTGCTGCTATAGTTCTTCCAATTTGATTAATTAATTTGTGGGGCAATACATAGGCCTAGTCGGAAAAACAATGCAAAATTATTAAGGTTAGAAATCTAGTCCCAAGCCTAACAGAAATATTATTTTTGGCTTGTTCTCGCGGGCCACATAAACACGCATTTGGGCCACTGATTGAGAACCCCTGCAATAAACTGTTGAAAAGACTAGGAAAAAACATGGTGCCCAAAGCAGAACAAATTTTGCCTACATTTGTACAAGATCCGGAATCAACGATGGAAAAAAGAGCTTTTGTATCTCAAAATCTTATTAAACAAGTAGGTAAAGTAAGGCCGCAAGGCCTAGCCTTAGTGCTTACAGTACATCCATTATGTTTATAAAAACCAAATCTGTTGGCTTGTTTAGACATTATTTTATAATTATATTATGAAGTCATCATATTCATTTTATATGTTGGATTGATAATGTTATTCACAAAAATTCGTCAAATATCCGTAGTTTCACCGCCGAGACCACAGACTTTCCCTGGCGCCCCCAGCCTAAATCCTCGCCTAGCAAGCCTAGGCCCCTATCGGAGTCTTCAGCGCCTTCGCCTAGGCAGATCCCAGCCCCATCAGTAGGTCCGCAGACAAGATATATCAGAGACAGAAATGGCCTAGGCCTACAACCAGGTAAGAAAATACCGGGATTTATTCTTGTTATTTCACTTAAATATTCCGTTAAAAAACCAAAAAAACAACTGTATTCTACTTACATTAAAACCATTCTTGAAATAATTTCCACTATTAAAGAAAATCGTAGATATCAAAGTAAGTTTCAACGTCTTCAAAAATGTTGTTTTGGCCTATTTTCCAAACAATCCACATGGCAAACAAGGGAAGGTTAAAGGTAAATATCCAAACTTGTTATCAAACAGCGCTCCATGAACAGAGTTGACAGTAGAGTTACTGTACTCCACCCGCGTCTCATATTCTCATATTATACGTATTTGATAGACAAATTGAACGGCAATCAGATTTTTGGATTAAAGATGAACCGTATTGTATGCCAAACAAAATAATCTAAAAAAAAAAACCCTTTGAAATTCAGTAAAAAAGGGTGGTGTTTTGTGACAGTACTTATAACAAAATGCAAACTGCATGGTTTTTTTTTAAAGATTTTTTTTACCCCCTACCCCATCCATTTAAATATTAAGAAAATGTTGTTGTACTTTAACTTTACCTTGTATCATTTGTGTAATGTGTATTTTTGCATGCAGTTAAGATTTGTAGCAATTGGAGCCAAATAATATATTATCTCATTATTATGCATTACAACAATAAAATTATCTTGTTGTATCTCGTACAGCATGTCAGCTTCTATTTAAAACAAGAAAGACCAAAAAGAATAATTCATTCCATTACTTTTAATTCATTTTATTCATTTGCATGTCATCATTAAACTACATCCAAAAGTGACAATCAATTTGTAAAAAGTATATAAAAATGTTCGGTTGTATTAAATTGCATCGTTTCCCAAATATGCGTGAATATAATTATTTGAGAGTAATTAATCAAACAAAAAAAACCAAAGGTAAACATTCTTTTCCCGAAGCTCATCTTTAAATGAAATAAAAAAAAAAATTAAAAAAATTGATATCATTGAGATTGAACCAGGTAAATAGAAATCCATGATTCACAGACCACATCAGTATCTGACCTGCCAATTCGTATTCATAACTCTTAAGTTGATTTATTATTAATTAGCAAGACTTTATATACCTAGTTTAGTGAACCTGCCACCTGCCAAATGATGATTTCGAGTAAAAATACAATTTTATTTTTGGCCAATTAGCATGATACCAGCCGCCACGAAAAATGAAATTTTTATTTTCTCCCCAGTCAGGATGCTTTTGGCAAAACTATAATAAGAAAACAAAAATTAAATTTTTTTTTTCCGCCCTCCTTTGACAATCGTTAAAAAAATAAGTTCGCGAATCAAGGTATTAAAAAAGTCTCGGCTCAGAGATAAAAAGATTAACAAGACACAACATGATTGAACCTGGAACTTACATGTCAATAACAAACAGTTCAAGCTACTGAGCTACATGATCAACTATGATTACATTGTGTATTTAAAACTCTTAAGCTTTAGACTTTCACATATAAAAAAAAAACACATTAAAAAAATTAAAGTACATAAAAACTAATACTGTAATTCATTAAGAATAATAGAACAATACAACATAAATCACAAAAAATACTTTCAACTAATAAGTTTTCATTTTTTTTTTTTTATTAGTTGGTTATTCAACAATCTTTTAAATATGTTTATGTTAAAGGCAGTTTCCTATCTTGTAGTATACATAATAAAATATTATTTGAAAAAAAATGACTATCATAAATTTATTCAAAATATTCAAAAAATTATTTAAATAATTAGAATTCAAATTACAATATTCATGAAAATAAACTTTTTCTATTAATTTTTAATAAATAATTTTACATCAATAAATAATTTTTATTCAAAACTTTTACATACATTCAAAACAGAAAAAAAACATCTTCAATACATAGGAAATTCTACATCCATTACCATTACCATTATATTCAAACCAGATGAAACTATTTTAACAGCATAACAGTTTGTTCGCTATATTAAAATTATACACAAATATTCATAAAGTTAGATAACATCTATCAATAATCTCTATTCCCAGCTCAGCATCCTGTCACTAATATGAAGTCCAGTATTCTTCAGGGCCTGTTTTTGAAAAAAAAATTTAAAACATTAATGAATTTTAATGCCATAAAAACAGGTACAGTAGTATAATAACATTTAACAGACAAAGTATATTACATTGTCTGGCCAAAACATCAAGAAGAAAGAAATGGCACTTTATCTGGCCTGTAAAAAGCACTCTTCAAGCACAAAATGACAAATCAAACCCTAATTTTGTAAATAACTTAGTGTGCACGAGTCAATCATGAGAATTTAAAACATTAAAATGGTGGACAGGTAGGTACTTGATGGTAGTGAGAAAATGGGATAATGCTTTCACAATAAAAATAAAAGAAAACACTGTATACATTATAATAAATTGAGTACAGTACAATAAATCTAAACAATTGAAATTCACTGTAGTTCAAAGTCTCTGCATGATTGATCACATCATGTCACACTTGATCGCACACAATGACAATTCAGCCTACGCCAGGTCACATGACAGGAGACTCCATTTCTGCAGTATATAGCTGTGCACACGGTAGAGAAACATAAAAGGTAAGTACTTGATTATTGCCAAGTAATCATCATAAATAAGAACAATGATAAATGTATTAATTATTAAGGAATATTCAGAACATACTGAATCAAATTATTATCTGGTTACAAGTACAAGAAGGCATACAGCATACTGTTCACCTCCTCTGGTGGTTTAGGGCACTGGATCAACAGACAAAGGGCTGCTATACAGTACAACACTATTCTGATAGAAGTCTATTTTTAAATGATGGTAATAACCCACACCAGGGAGTTGTTACATTCACCTTCCGTATAGCCCTTTAGGCCCCCTATACTGTATCTTCTTGTTCAGAGTCGTGGAATTTTTTAATATTTTAACCCTTGTCCTTCCCTTGTATCTTTCCTCTACCTGCCTATTGTCCTATCTGTCTGTCTAAATATGTGTGGCTGGAAATGGCACCGTAAAGACTTGTATTTGAATATAATTTTTCTAATTTTTGTTGGGCTAGCTGGGTCCCCATTGAATCTGCCTATGATATTAAATGTACGACCATCAAAAATGTACGATGTTCATTTGCAAAGGCGGATCCAGAAATTTTTAATAAAGTGGGGGGGGGGGGTGCCGAGGGTGAAATTTTTACACAAGGAGAGTGTAGGCCACAATAGCCCCACCATGGGTAAGCTGAAGTACAAAATTAATGGTATGACACAGAAGTTAAATATAATTTACTATGTTCTTTAAAATTTTGTTGTAGAGAATTTGAAGGGGCCCCAAGCCAACTTCTCCCTCCCCTTGAATCTACTGCTGTGTATATCCTTGGATGGGTAACGGTGTAGCGTAGTCCTTAGATCATTACATCTGCACACTCACTCACCTGGGTTGGTCACCGGGCCTACTCTATATCATCTCAAACCTCAGCCCCATTGATAATTTATTGGTAATTTATAATTCACAGAAATTTTCAAGATGGCAACAAGTGAGGTAGAAGATGTTGATAAGAAGTTTCTAGAGTGTACCATATGCTTGAAACAACTTCAAAATCCTAAATCCCTCAAATGTCTGCATAGTTTCTGTTGTGCATGTCTGGAAGACTGGGTTAAAGAGAAGGGTGAGTTGACTTGCCCAACTTGCTCAAAATCATATTCCATTCCAGAGGGCGGGCTACAGAATCTTACAGCAAATATATTTATAAAGAATGTATTAGAAAGTATTGAACTATTTTCTAACAAAGATCAGATGAAATGTGTTTGTGAAATTGAAGGACAGGCAAAATACTACTGCCAGGATTGCAGACAGTTCTTGTGCACCACATGTTGCAATCAACATAAGAGGTATAAACTCTTTGTAAACCACAAGTTGCACGCAGTGGAAGATGTGCAATCTATGAGCCCCCTTCAGATGGCTTCGATAAATCCAGCGCTGTGTTTACTTCACAGTAATCCTTTGGAGTTTTATTGCACGGTATGTGAAACTCCTATATGCTTGGATTGCACAATTACGGAACACAGTGAGTTGGAAGGGAAACACAAACTAATCGGCATTTCAGATGCATTCCAAACATTTAAAGAAACTTCAGCAGAATTGGAGAAAGCTGTCAATGAGTCGCAAAATAAATTACAAAATGGCCTTGAGGCAGTACTTCAGAATTCTACAAAATTAGAACAAAGCAGAGAAACAACTTTGAGAGAAATTGATGAGCATGTGGACCAAATGATCAAGGAAGTCACAGAGAAGGCAGACAAAATGAAGAGAGACGTAGAAAAAAAATACAGAAAAGAAAAAGCAGTGAACGATTTACATATGGATATATTGAGAACAACAATATTAGAGATAGAGACACAATTGAGTTTTCTTAATCAAGAAAATTAATGAGTTTTGAAGCTACAATATAACAGCGCACTGAAGTAGATTAATAAATACAGCACTAAAGGACAGAACACTAATATTCATAAAATAATATATTCAAACATTTTGAAGTGTACATAAAGGAAGTGGAAGCATGTTTATAAAAAAACATACTGAAAACCATAATTGTAATTAATTCTTGTAATTTTTCTGTAATTACATGGGCAATACAGAGGTATCTGGTTATATAATTGATGTACTGTACTTATATAATAATTAATTTAACTTATTTACTTACATATTTAAAATAACTAATTATAGTTAATTATAATTAATTGATGAATTATATTGTAATCAACAAATTACAGTACATATAGATAAATGTAAATAATTGTAGTTATAAGAGTATTGTTCGAAATAAATATCTGTAATTAAAATTAAATAATTCTTTTAAAAAAGTAAAACAATATATCCTCTAATATAATTTTCCTACCCATTTCATGCACTAATGAAATTGGATTTAAAACCCTGCGTGTGACCCGTCATCCATCTATGGATAGAAAATACCTTTTTTTTTACGGCCCAACACCGATTATCTGTAAATATTAATGTTAAAATATCATAGCATAAAGCGGTATATAAGCAGTACATGAAGGTTTTGAAAGCGCAAGGGAAACACAAAAGTTTGGGTGTGGCCCTCAGTGTTAAATCAAAAATTCACTTGGCCCTCCGATCAATTTTTATGTCATCTCCTGCGCTTAGGTATAGACTCCCGGTATTCAAGCCCTGGCCTGCCTGGGACATTGCTCAGGAAAAAAAATTTTCCCAGAAAAAATGCGGCCAATTTTCAAATGCGGTTGCAATAGGCTTTGCTAAAGAAATGAAGACAACTTTCCCACAGGCAAATGAGTGTGACTTTAACTTCTTGAGTGAAATATTTCTGTTTAGTGAATCTCTAGAGTGCCTCGGGTGCAACTTTTTTTAGGGACCACGTCATCCCTCCTCAGATATGCCACTGTATTACTCCCTTATTTTTCTACCATATTTGATTTTGAAGTATATTATGCAACAGGCTACCTATTTTTACATACCTGTAGGCCTGAGATAAGATCTATAGAAATATGAAAGGGAACTGCTGGGTACATTCCCCTGGCCCCAACATACTGGCCCCGGCTACCAGCATGGATCTGTATAACTTGAGCTGCCAGCAGGGTGAAATTGTATATAATGTAAGTACTATGTAAGCCTATACTAAAGAATGTACACCTATTATTATTAATAATCAATAAAAGTACATGTAATTGTTTAGATGCAAAGTAAATATAGAAATAAAATCTGAAGTTGTCATGACACTCTTCTGTTTCAAGTGATTGCTGTCTTCAAATTTTGATTGATGAAAAATATGAGAAGTGCAGACTGTATTACCATAGAATCTAGTGAGGCATATGACATGTGAAACTTAAGTCAGACATGACAATTGTGATGTATGAATAAGTCAAAAAATGAATTATAAGTTATTTTAACAATATAAATCAATATTTGAATTTTGCATCTATTATACTAAAGTACATTAATATTATTGTTCTTATTACTAATTATCAATTCCTGAATGGATGACTAGTAATTACATAACATTTCCAAGACTGGGAAGTAGAAAAAAAAACTGAGCAAAGTAAACAATATAAATAAATCCCTAACTACTGTACAAACTCTATAAGAGAAAATACTAAAAATCATAAAAAAAACTTTAATTATTAATTAATTCATAAAAACCAAAATTAAGCAAATGATTTGATACAGTATCAGTATCAGTATCTTATTTCCATTGGGTTCCTTACATAAAAAATTAGAATGCAAAACACAGAATTAAAAAATCTACCAGATAAATTGAGAGTTTCGTTCAAAAACAATGATCTTACAAACAGTGATAACGAAATTGCTAACCAACTAAACAATCACTTTTCTTCAATTGGTAAGTCACTTGTGGCCAAATTCCCAAGTTATTCTACTATAAACCCTAGACTTCAGTAACTCATGATATTTTAAAATTTGATATAATACCAGAATATGATTTTGAGGAAATATGCATACTGTACTTTCTAGTAATAAGGCCTGTGGTGTTGATGGTATAAATTTTAAGCTTTTAAAATTGGCTACTCCAAATATTTGTGAAGCACTTGCATTCTGTAAATTTTCTTTGCTCACCTCATCTTCTCCATCTGAATTGCAAAGGTAAGCTATCTGTAAGATGACAGAGAAGATTTTAATAATTTCCGTCCAATTTCTGTTTTACCTGTAGTATCCAAAACTATTTAACATGCGGTTTATGATGGTACATAGTTATCTAACTGATTTCAAAAGAAAACTTGTTGATATAAATTATATGTGAAGTAGTGTGTATATTTTTTTGTTTTTTATAAGGCCTTTGCATTTATTATTTGAATCAATGTATTTTGCTATTCTTTTATAAATTGCCTTTAAATTAAAATAATATAGTTCCTAGCACAGGTTAGAATGCAATCCATGCCCTATAGTCAACAGTGTGCAAAACCCTACTATTTTGTGGAAGGCTGTTCCCACTTGAACCCTGTACAATATTGTACATTTTCGTAATCCTCTAAGGGAAGTATCCTTTTTACCTAAACGTGATAGATAACCAAAAGCACGATCAGTGGCAGCTCTAGGATATATTTTCTGGGGGCTAAGCCGTTCCGACAGGGAGACTTGAACCATAGGCCCGTGCTGAGGGAAGGGGTTGAAAGGCGTTCTCCTTCCCAAGAGATTTTTTAAAGAACAGCAACCTGTGGATGGCTTGAAATGGCACTCTCAGACTTGGTGTGGGCCTATTTTTTATGTTTGTTTTGGTCGGACTGCCCGAAAAGCTCTGTCCGATGGGATTGGGGGGCTTGACCTGTCCAGTGGGGGACTTAAGCCCCCCTGTCCCCTATGGGCACCGCCACTGACCCAAGATAAGGAATAGAGAGTGACTGGATGTGCTAACCAGGGCTAGGAACCAATAAGAATGAAATTGACTCATGATTAATAAGATAAACCAATAGAATTTATTTGTCATTTAATGACAAGGTAGACCAAGCTGGTTCACATGCATCTTCTGTTTTTAGGGGTACATTACCACTGAAAAGTCCTAAAATGAAGAGGTTGTAAGATGCTAGTTTTATTCTACTACTTTATTTCAGGCTGATGAAGCCTACTGACTGCCTATCAACCACAATGACAATCACCTGCCGGGATCCCTGTGCTTCTCTACACTACTACAAACAATTACCTGGGAGGACCATGTCCATGCCATTGTTTCCAAAGCTAAGCGTATGCTTGGTTTTGTTTGCAGCGTGGCTGGAAATGCTTCGACCAGTGCATTTTTGTCTCTCTACAAAAGCCTTGTATTGTCAGGCCTGGAGTATGCTCAACCCGCCTGGTTTCCATGGACTAAAACTTTGTCAGATCTGCTTGAGGGAGTCCATAGAAGAGCAACTCGTCTTGCTCTTAAACAACATCGAGGACAGATGAGCTTTGAG